CAGAAACTAGTATTGACTTTGGGTCATGAGTACACACTCTGGCGTATTTTCTAACAGTGTGAACGACCGTTCCGTTTCAGCAGTACTTCCGGTAGATCGTGGAATATGGAACTGCACTGTCACCTATCACCTGTTGTGTGCGTACATTAGGATTTCAACTGGGAGCAAAGTGGCGTAGCGGCTAGACGCTTGCCTTCTACCCCGAAGGTCTTGAGTATCAAAATGTATACTTGCTTCCAAGTCGATCTAGTCTAGAATTGACACCAGGCAATGTCCTGGGAGGTAAAGACGGCCTTGATGATGACCACTTACTAGCCGATACAAAAATGAGTCTAGCATCATATGCCTGATACGCCATTGGCACGAAACGTGTCCTTTACTTACAGAGGAAATGTATATACCCTATAGCAATATGGCATACAGTCGTCGATAGTGTCATTTGATTACATGGAAATGTACATACCCTGTAGCAATATGGCATACAGTCGTCGATAGTGTCATTTGATTACATGGAAATGTACATACCCTGTAGCAGTATGGCATACAGTCGTCGATAGTGTCATTTGATTACATTGAAATGTATATACCCTATAGCAGTATGGCATACAGTCGTCGATAGTGTCATTTGATTACATTGAAATGTACATACCCTGTAGCAGTATGGCATACAGTCGTTGATAGTGTCGTTTGATTACATGGAAATGTACATACCCTGTAGCAATATGGCATACAGTCGTCGATAGTGTCATTTGATTACATTGAAATGTACATACCCTGTAGCAGTATGGCATACAGTCGTCGATAGTGTCATTTGATTACATGGAAATGTATATACCCTATAGCAGTATGGCATACAGTCGTCGATAGTGTCATTTGATTACATGGAAATGTACATACCCTGTAGCAGTATGGCATACAGTCGTCGATAGTGTCATTTGATTACATGGAAATGTACATACCCTGTAGCAGTATGGCATACAGTCGTCGATAGTGTCATTTGATTACATGGAAATGTACATACCCTGTAGCAGTATGGCATACAGTCGTCGATAGTGTCATTTGATTACATGGAAATGTATATACCCTATAGCAATATGGCATACAGTCGTCGATAGTGTCGTTTGATTACATGGAAATGTATATACCCTGTAGCAGTATGGCATACAGTCGTCGATAGTGTCATTTGATTACATGGAAATGTACATACCCTGTAGCAGTATGGCATACAGTCGTCGATAGTGTCATTTGATTACATGGAAATGTACATAACCTGTAGCAGTATGGCATACAGTCGTCGATAGTGTCATTTGATTACATGGAAATGTATATACCCTATAGCAATATGGCATACAGTCGTCGATAGTGTCGTTTGATTACATGGAAATGTACATACCCTGTAGCAGTATGGCATACAGTCGTCGATAGTGTCATTTGATTACATGGAAATGTATATACCCTATAGCAGTATTTCATACAGTCGTCGATAGTGTCATTTGCTTACATGGAAATGTATATACCCTATAGCAGTATGGCATACAGTCGTCGATAGTGTCATTTGATTACATGGAAATGTAGATACCCTATAGCAGTATGGCATACAGTCGTCGATAGTGTCATTTGATTACATGGAAATGTACATACCCTGTAGCAGTATGGCATACAGTCATCGATAGTGTCATTTGATTACATGGAAATGTATATACCCTATAGCAGTATGGCATACAGTCATAGAAAGTGTCATTTGATTACATGGAAATGTACATACCCTATAGCAGTATGGCATACAGTCGTCGATAGTGTCATTTGATTACATGGAAATGTATATACCCTATAGCAGTATGGCATACAGTCGTCGATAGTGTCATTTGATTACATGGAAATGTACATACCCTATAGCAGTATGGCATACAGTCGTCGATAGTGTCATTTGATTACATGGAAATGTATATACCCTATAGCAATATGGCATACAGTCGTCGATAGTGTCATTTGATTACATGGAAATGTATATACCCTATAGCAGTATGGCATACAGTCGTCGATAGTGTCGTTTGATTACATGGAAATGTACATACCCTATAGCAGTATGGCATACAGTCGTCGATAGTGTCATTTGATTACATGGAAATGTATATACCCTGAAGCAGTATGGCATACAGTCGTCGATAGTGTCATTTGATTACATGGAAATGTATATACCCTATAGCAATATGGCATACAGTCGTCGATAGTGTCATTTGATTACATGGAAATGTATATACCCTATAGCAGTATGGCATACAGTCGTCGATAGTGTCGTTTGATTACATGGAAATGTACATACCCTATAGCAGTATGGCATACAGTCGTCGATAGTGTCATTTGATTACATGGAAATGTATATACCCTATAGCAGTATGGCATACAGTCGTCGATAGTGTCATTTGATTACATGGAAATGTACATACCCTATAGCAGTATGGCATACAGTCGTCGATAGTGTCATTTGATTACATGGAAATGTATATACCCTATAGCAGTATGGCATACAGTCGTCGATAGTGTCATTTGATTACATGGAAATGTATATACCCTGTAGCAGTATGGCATACAGTCGTCGATAGTGTCGTTTGATTACATGAAAATGTATATACCCTGTAGCAGTATGGCATACAGTCGTCGATAGTGTCATTTGATTACATGGAAATGTATATACCCTATAGCAGTATGGCATACAGTCGTCGATAGTGTCGTTTGATTACATGGAAATGTATATACCCAGTAGCAGTATGGCATACAGTCGTCGATAGTGTCATTTGATTACATGGAAATGTATATACCCTGTAGCAGTATGGCATACAGTCGTCGATAGTGTCGTTTGATTACATGGAAATGTATATACCCTATAGCAGTATGGCATACAGTCGTCGATAGTGTCGTTTGATTACATGGAAATGTATATACCCTATAGCAGTATGGCATACAGTCGTCGATAGTGTCATTTGATTACATGGAAATGTATATACCCTATAGCAGTATGGCATACAGTCGTCGATAGTGTCATTTGATTACATGGAAATGTATATACCCTATAGCAATATGGCATACAGTCGTCGATAGTGTCATTTGATTACATGGAAATGTATATACCCTATAGCAGTATGGCATACAGTCGTCGATAGTGTCGTTTGATTACATGGAAATGTATATACCCTATAGCAGTATGGCATACAGTCGTCGATAGTGTCGTTTGATTACATGGAAATGTATATACCCTATAGCAGTATGGCATACAGTCGTCGATAGTGTCATTTGATTACATGGAAATGTATATACCCTATAGCAATATGGCATACAGTCGTCGATAGTGTCATTTGATTACATGGAAATGTATATACCCTGTAGCAGTATGGCATACAGTCGTCGATAGTGTCGTTTGATTACATGGAAATGTATATACCCTATAGCAATATGGCATACAGTCGTCGATAGTGTCATTTGATTACATGGAAATGTATATACCCTGTAGCAGTATGGCATACAGTCGTCGATAGTGTCGTTTGATTACATGGAAATGTATATACCCTATAGCAGTATGGCATACAGTCGTCGATAGTGTCATTTGCTTACATCGAAATGTATATACCCTATAGCAGTATGGCATACAGTCGTCGATAGTGTCATTTGCTTACATCGAAATGTATATACCCTATAGCAGTATGGCATACAGTCGTCGATAGTGTCATTTGCTTACATCGAAATGTATATACCCTATAGCAATATGGCATACAGTCGTCGATAGTGTCGTTTGATTACATGGAAATGTATATACCCTATAGCAATATGGCATACAGTCGTCGATAGTGTCGTTTGATTACATGGAAATGTATATACCCTGTAGCAGTATGGCATACAGTCGTCGATAGTGTCGTTTGATTACATTGAAATGTATATACCCTATAGCAATATGGCATACAGTCGTGGATAGTGTCATTTGATTACATGGAAATGTATATACCCTGTAGCAGTATGGCATACAGTCGTCGATAGTGTCATTTGCTTACATCGAAATGTATATACCCTATAGCAGTATGGCATACAGTCGTCGATAGTGTCATTTGCTTACATCGAAATGTATATACCCTATAGCAATATGGCATACAGTCGTCGATAGTGTCGTTTGATTACATGGAAATGTATATACCCTGTAGCAGTATGGCATACAGTCGTCGATAGTGTCGTTTGATTACATTGAAATGTATATACCCTATAGCAATATGGCATACAGTCGTCGATAGTGTCATTTGATTACATGGAAATGTATATACCCTGTAGCAGTATGGCATACAGTCGTCGATAGTGTCGTTTGATTACATGGAAATGTATATACCCTATAGCAGTATGGCATACAGTCGTCGATAGTGTCGTTTGATTACATTGAAATGTATATACCCTATAGCAATATGGCATACAGTCGTCGATAGTGTCATTTGATTACATGGAAATGTATATACCCTGTAGCAGTATGGCATACAGTCGTCGATAGTGTCGTTTGATTACATGGAAATGTATATACCCTGTAGCAGTATGGCATACAGTCGTCGACAGTGTCGTTTGATTACATTGAAATGTACATACCCTGTAGCAGTATGGCATACAGTCGTCGATAGTGTCGTTTGATTACATTGAAATGTACATACCCTGTAGCAATATGGCATACAGTCATAGAAAGTGTCATTTGCTTACATCGAAATGTACATACCCTGTAGCAGTATGGCATACAGTCGTCGAAAGTGTCATTTGATTACATGGAAATGTACATACCCTGTAGCAATATGGCATACAGTCGTCGATAGTGTCATTTGATTACATGGAAATGTACATACCCTGTAGCAATGTGGCATACAGTCGTCGATAGTGTCATTTGATTACATGGAAATGTACATACCCTGTAGCAGTATGGCATACAGTCGTCGATAGTGTAATTTGATTACATGGAAATGTACATACCCTGTAGCAATATGGCATACAGTCATAGAAAGTGTCATTTGCTTACATCGAAATGTATATACCCTGTAGCAATATGGCATACAGTCATAGAAAGTGTCATTTGATTACATGGAAATGTACATACACTGTAGCAATATGGCATACAGTCGTCGATAGTTTCATTTGATTACATGGAAATGTACATACCCTGTAGCAATATGGCATACAGTCGTCGATAGTGTCATTTGATTACATGGAAATGTACATACCCTGTAGCAGTATGGCATACAGTCGTCGATAGTGTCATTTGATTACATGGAAATGTACATACCCTGTAGCAGTATGGCATACAGTCGTCGAAAGTGTCATTTGATTACATGGAAATGTACATACCCTGTAGCAATATGGCATACAGTCGTCGATAGTGTCATTTGATTACATGGAAATGTACATACCCTGTAGCAATATGGCATACAGTCGTCGATAGTGTCATTTGATTACATGGAAATGTACATACCCTGTAGCAGTATGGCATACAGTCGTCGATAGTGTCATTTGATTACATGGAAATGTACATACCCTGTAGCAGTATGGCATACAGTCGTCGATAGTGTCATTTGATTACATGGAAATGTATATACCCTATAGCAGTATGGCATACAGTCGTCGAAAGTGTCATTTGCTTACATCGAAATGTATATACCCTGTAGCAATATGGCATACAGTCATAGAAAGTGTCATTTGCTTACATCGAAATGTATATACCCTGTAGCAATATGGCATACAGTCATAGAAAGTGTTCTTTGCTTACATAGGAAATTATATAGCCTGTAGCAGTATGGCATACAGTCATAGAAAGTGTCATTTGCTTACATCGAAATGTATATACCCTCTAGCAATATGGCATACAGTCATAGAAAGTGTTCTTTGCTTACATAGGAAATTATATAGCCTGTAGCAGTATGGCATACAGTCATTGACAGTGTCCTTTGCTTACTTGGAAATGTGTATATCCTGTAGCAGTATGGCATACAGTCATCGAGACAGCAGGTATCAAAGCAGAGACACAGGGTAATAAGAGGGGGACAAGTAGAATAGAAATGGAAACCTCTGTTGCTGAAAGCAAAAGTCTCTAATTTCTCTACAGATGCTGTACGAGAGTCAGACTGGAAGAACACAAGAGCAAGCTGGTCAGATTAGAAAAAGGTGTCCCCCAGGGAGGTGCGATATCTCCAACCCTATTTATTCTTGTCATTAATGACCTTCCAAAACAGTTTACTAATTACATTCACAAGCCATTGGTAGATTCAATTTCCAAGACCTCAAATATCAACATCTGCCTAGCACATACGAGGCTCGCTGTTAATGCCTCATCATGGCCTCTCGCTGAAAGGTTGAACAAGGAGGAGGGGGAGGGAGGAGGGGGAGGAGGAAGAAGAAGAAGAAGAAGAAGAAGAAGAAAGAAGAAGAAGAAGAAGAAAGAAGAAGAAGAAGAAGAAGAAGAAGAAGAAGAAGAAGAAGAAAAAAGAAGAAAAAGAGAAGAAGAAGAAGAAGAAGAAGAAGAAGAAGAAGAAGAAGAAGAAGAAGAAGAAGAAGAAGAAGAAGAAGAAAGAAGAGAAGAAGAAGAAGAAGAAGAAGAAGAAGAAGAAGAAGAAGAAGAAGAAGAAGAAGAAGAAGAAGAAGAAGAAGAAGAAGAAGAAGAAGAAGAAGAAGAAGAAAAGAAGAAGAAGAAGAAGAAGAAGAAGAAGAAGAAGAAGAAGAAGAAGAAGAAGAAGAAGAAGAAGAAGAAGAAGAAGAAGAAGAAGAAGAAGAAGAAGAAGAAGAAGAAGAAGAAGAAGAAGAAGAAGAAGAAGAAGAAGAAGAAGAAGAAGAAAAAGAAGAAGAAGAAGAAGAAGAAGAAGAAAAGCAATAACAACAATAAAAACAAGTCGTTAGGCGACAAAAACGTTATTCAAATGTGGCGTAAATACAGTTGGAATGTGTTTGTTACTGATGTGTTACACCAATGAAATGGCGCGGTCACCAAGCGCCAATCAGTTTAAGCCACGTGTTTGTTTGTTGCAGTAACATGGTCCAGTTACAGAGAAGTCTGTTGTCATGGAAACTGATAGCGCTGATAAGCTTGGTGTTTGGAGTCCTCCTTGTGGTAACCATGTCCAGTAAAACAAACATCCTCTCGCACATTGTCTTTGATGGTGGTTGCCCCCAGAGTCAAATCCGACCCATGAGAACAGAATTTGTGAACAACAGTGGAGCTGCACGTGAGTAGAGCTCTCAGAGATCATGAGTTACATTTCCCCTGTCAATAAATGCAGATCATGTGGTTGTTTATCATCAGTATGTTACGGAACATTTAGCATCTACACATTTAGACATTTACTGCAAGAGACGGAGCATCCATAGGTATGCCTGGTGTGTTATGATGTCGATTCTTCGATCAGTACAATCTCCCTGTCCCAAGCAACGGTCTCTGTGCTATCAGTACGTTTGTGTAATTTGTCAGTCAATATTAATTTTACTGAAGCAGCGTTTGTAGCAAATGCAATATACTGTGCCTGTGCCATTATTATTTTTACCCTTTTTTTTAATCGTATAGTATAAGTGTCACTGCCATGTCATTGGCACACAAAAGTTATAAATCTAATGGCTGACAATGATTGGTTTCAGAATGAAAAAATTTATTTTTTGCGTATATACATAAACACCCGTACACTCTGTAGATCTTTAGTGACAACCCTAGAGTGGTCTAAAGTCGAGACCCTAATCTTAGGAACATATTTGTCAGAAGCAGAGCGTCTCCGGTCCAGACCGCAATTTCTTTTGTATTTCCAATTACTCTCGTACCAGGAGTAAAAAATGTGCATTTGTGATCCAAACATCTTCGGTCTCCTTCCGAAAGGTTTTGTTTTCATATTAGAGAAGAATTTACTTGTAAATCGCGTAACCTGTTTTATACAATCATATGCAAAAGATGTAAAAATTCATATATTAAAGGGGGGGGGGGGGGGGGTAGTAGGAGGCTAGCAAAAAGCTTCCGTGATCATCTTACTGACATTTGCAATAAGGCCCTAAAACTTGTCTCCCTCCATTTCAATGGTTCCGACCGTAAAGGCGAAGCAATATCTCAGTCGCTGCTATTTAATCCTGCTCTGGTGATCAGACCAGCCGCTGCTCCCTAGAAAATCGTTTCAACCATAGTTTTGGTGTTCTTAGTCGTGGACGGTCAATATTCAACACAGCTTTAAATATTTAATTGAATTGATTTACTTGTTTCTTTGGTAGTCGCCGTCGTGGAGTGGCTAGACACTCGTCGCGGATTGGAAAGTCATAGGTTCGCTCCCTGGCCGGAGCCAGACTATTTTCAAAAATGACACTGGCTCCCAAGTAGATCCAGCCTTGATTTGGTACCGGTTGCAGTCCCGGGAAGTAAAGGCGGCCGGTGTGATGCTGACCACATCACCCATCTTGTGCCGAATGGTCTATAAAAAAAAGGCCTAGCCCTATATGCCCTATATGCCTAGAGGCGTGGAAAATGGGTCCTTTACTTTAGTTGCTTGTTCATTTATTTAATTTATTCATATTTATTCGAACTTTTTTTTCCACAAGTTTTCTTACTTATTTTGTTTTCTATTATAGCCCTTCATATTCACCCCCCCCCCCCCCCAACCCCCTCTTCTTTTCCCCCAATAACGTACATCTTGGTTTCATGTTGCCCTTGGTTCTTATTAGTTCTGTTGTCTTGTTCGTTGAGTTCTATAGTAGAGTTTGAGAGTTTGTGCTGTATTTAGTATCGCGCTGATAAAGACTTTGGTCGAAACGTTAGGTTGTGTTTGTGAGTGTCTTTTCCATTCCTTCCTTTGAGCTTCCTAGTTACGATTTGTGTTATATTTAGCATATATATTGACATGTTGAGATAGTTTTTTTTATGTGCGACTAAAGCAAATGGATAAAGTGTTGTAATGACTTAGTTACAATGTCAACAGATTCTGGTATCTGCGAGAGTTGTGTATGTTTTTTTTATGCGTAAAAATGTTCTATTGTTAGTTTTGTTGTTTTTGTTTGTTGTTTTGAGTATATAGTACAATCATTATAACTTTAAATAAAATAAAAGCAAACATAGTTTTATTTTTAAAGCAAGAAATGTTAACTTGAGTTTGAAAATACACTAGAAATTCCCAGCTAATTAATGTAAATGCCAGAACAAGACATACACAGGTGTCACTTGGTCTTTAGAACAAGACATTCACAGGTGTCACTAGGTCTCTAGAACAAGACATACACAGATGACACTAGGTCTCCAGAACAAGACATACACAGATGTCACTTGGTCTTTAGAACAAAACATACACAGATGTCACTAGGTCTCCAAAACAAGACATACACAGATGTCACTAGGTCTCCAGAACAAGACATACACAGATGTCACCTGGTCTCCAGAACAAGACATACACAGGTGTCACTAGGTCTCCAGAACAAGACATACACAGGTGTCACTAGGTCTTTAGAACAAGACATACACAGATGTCACTAGGTCTCCAGAACAAGACATACACTCCAGAACAAGACATACACAGGTGTCACTAGGTCTCCAGAACAAGACATACACTCCAGAACAAGACATACACAGGTGTCACTAGGTCTCCAGAACAAGACATACACATGTGTCACTAGGTCTCCAGAACAAGACATACACTCCAGAACAAGACACACACAGGTGTCACTAGGTCTCCAGAACAAGACATACACAGATGTCACTTGGTCTCTAGAACAAGACATTCACAGGTGTCACTAGGTCTCCAGAACAAGACATTCACAGGTGTCACTAGGTCTCCAGAACAAGACATACACAGATGTCACAAGGTCTCCAGAACAAGACATACACAGGTGTCACTTGGTCTCCAAAACAAGACATACACAGGTGTCACTTGGTCTCCAGAACAAGACATACACAGATGTCACTTGGTCTTTAGAACAAAACATACACAGATGTCTCTAGGTCTCCAGAACAAGACATACACAGGTGTCACAGGTGTCACTAGGTCTCCAGAACAAGACATTCACAGGTGTCACTAGGTCTCCAGAACAAGACATACACAGATGTCACTAGGACTCCAGAACAAGACATACACAGGTGTCACTTGGTCTCCAGAACAAGACATACACAGGTGTCACTAGGTCTCCAGAACAAGACATACACAGGTGTCACTTGGTCTCCAAAACAAGACATAAACAGGTGTCACTTGGTCTCCAGAACAAGACATACACAGATGTCACTTGGTCTCCAGAACAAGACATACACAGATGTCACTAGGTCTCCAGAACAAGACATACACAGGTGTCATTTGGTCTCCAAAACAAGATATACACAGGTGTCACTTGGTCTCCAGAACAAGACATACACAGGTGTCACTTGGTCTCCAGAACAAGACATACGCAGGTGTCACTATGTCTCCTCTCTCTAAGCAATGCACTAATCTCACAACCCACAGAGTATGTGTACGCGTGTGTGTGTTTTAGTGTGTATACATGATGTGTGTATGCATTATTCTGTAATACAAAAATTTTTTTTTTTTATATAAACATAACGTGCATTAGTGATAACAGACATTGTTACTCTGAAAATGTGTGCTCAGAAGTGCTAAATGTCAGACGAGCCTGTGTACCCAGTTTCTAACCCTTTGAAAATTAAGTTCGTTTGTTCGTTCGTTCGATCGTTTGTTCCTCTCCCCCTTTCTATTATAATCTTATTTCTCACCTTATCTTTTTGATAACCTTGTGACACTGGTTAGATCAGTCGGTGGGCGGTAAGGTGATCGGCAGTTAAAATCGATCTTTACCTGCCACAGGTCTTTAGGTTTGTGAACACTGAGATTTCAGGTGTCTTTACCTGTCACGAGGAAAAGTCTTTGGGCTCATTGTTGTTGCTGTCTTACCTATCCTGATGTTGATTTCTTGGTCCAACGATAGTTTGTTATTCACTGTGTAACCCAGATAGTTAAAATTGACACCTTGCACCATAACCTTTGTCTTCGTTTTGCTGACTGTCAGTCCAAATTCACAGCATGCATCAGCAAAGGCAGATAGTAAACATTGCAGCTCCTCCTCTGAACGTGTTGTTATTCGAACTAACATCGTAATTAATTAACCAATGCCTACTGAAATAATAAACTTGCTAACTGTTTACCTAGCTATCAATCAAATCTCCTAAGTGACTAATATAGTAATTAATTATTAATTATTGCCTACTTAACTGGTTAGCTTGCTAACCGTCTACTTAACTATCCAATTAATCGTCTAAATAACTAACGTCGAAATTAATTAACCAATGACTACTGAACTCACTAGCTAGTTAACTTCTACCTAGCTATCCTACTACACATCAATCTATCTATTTATCTACCTAAAAAGTCACCCAATTCCTTGACAGTTTGTTGTTACATTTGATAATCCAATTCCCCCAATGTCGGTAGGATGTCAATAGTGTCCTCAACTCGTTGACCATGTCTTGCAGCTAACTTGAAGGCATACAGTAAACTCTTTTTGCATCGACCACGCCTGGAGTCACTGTGTCTGCCAACCCCAACAACCCCAGCACCATCACCACCTGGTGGCAAGCCCTGGCCATGATAGACTGGTGAGTCTAGTTAGCGCTGGATGCCAGCATCAGCATCACCCACACCAGCATCATCATCACCCGCGCCAGCATCATCATCACCCGCGCCAGCATCATCAAAACAACAACATCAACAAAACAACAGCAGTATCATCAAAACAACAACATCATCAAAACAACAGCAGCATCATCAAAGCAACAGCAACACTAATAGTAACAACGTTATCATCGATGTTTCTTGTTGGGGTCTTCATCGTTCGTCTCCACCAAGGTCAAACCATTATCTTCTTACTACACATCATCCCTACTCACAACATCATCTTCTTCCTGGACATCATCCCTAGTCACAACATTATCTTCTTCTTGAACATTATCCCCACTCACAACATTATATTCTTCTTGAATATCATCCCCACTCACAACATTATCTTCTTCTTGAACATTATCCCCACTCACAACATTATATTCTTCTTGAACATCATCCCCACTCACAACATTATATTCTTCTTGAACATCATCCCCACTCACAACATTATATTCTTCTTGAATATCATCCATAGTCACAACATTATCTTCTTCCCGAAAATCATAGCAAACACACCATCATCCTCTTCCTGAACATCATCCCTAGTCACAACATCATCTTCTTACTGAACATCATCCCTAGTCACAACATCATCTTCTTACTGAACATCATCCCTACTCACAACATCATCTTCTTCCTGAACATCATCCCTAGTCACAACATCATCGTCTTCCTGGACATCATCCCTAGTCACAACATCATCAATTTTTTTTCCTGAACATCATCCCTAGTCACAACATCATCTTCTTCCCGAAAATCATAGCCAACACACCATCATCCTCTTCCTGAACATCATCCCTAGTCACACATCATCTTCTTCCTGAACATCATCCCTAGTCACAACATCATCTTCTTCCTGAACATCATCACTAGTCACAACATCATCAATTTTTTTCCTGAACATCATCCCTAGTCACAACATCATCTTCTTACTGAACATCATCCCAGTCACAACATCATCTTCTTCCTGGACATCATCACTAGTAACAACGTCATCAATTTTTGTCCCGAAAATCATCCCTAATCACACCATCATCTTTTCCTGAACATCATCCCTAGTCACAACATCATCTTCTTCCTGAACATCATCACTAGTAACAACATCATCTTCTTCCTGAACATCATCACTAGTAACAACATCATTTTCTTCCTGAACATTATCACTAGTAACAAAATCATCTTTTTCCTGAACATCATCACTAGTCACAACATCATCTTTTTCCTGAACATCATCCCTAGTCACAACATCATCTTTTTCCTGAACATCATCACTACCAACATCATCCCCATGAACGTCTACACTATCATCATCATTAGGATTATTATTGACTTCAGGGTTTCACTTCTTCGATATCATCATCAATGTCATCATCATCATCATTATCATCGTCATCATCATCATTATTATCATCGTCATCATCATCATCATCATCATCATCATCATCATCATCATCATCATCGTCGTCATCCTCATTAGCGTCATTATCTACTTCTTTTTCACTATCGTCAGCATCTTCATCATCGTGGTCACCATCAGCAATTTGTTCTGGAAATCGGGACAGCTACGAACTGTGAACAACTCCCCACAAACAGTTGAATCAGTCGTATACATAGTTGTGATTTTAAATTATGTTCCATTCCCATCCCCCCCCCCCCCCCCCTCTAACCCTCCTCTACCAAAAAAACTATCTCTTCACGTCAGAACTTGGGATCCTGAATCGAGAGCTCAGATGCTCCAGAACCGGAAAAAAATCTATGGCCCTGAGACCGCCCTCAACCCCTTCCCTTTCCCCTTGATAATTGTGTAATGAGACCAAGTAGATCCGTTTTAAACATGTACATAAATTCTCTAAAGAATTATTTGTTTATACATATAAATTACCATATTATTTCATTTTAATTACTATTATTATTGTGCTTTTAAACTAGGATAGATTATTCGCCTCCTGAACCCTTTTCTTCAGCCCCTCCTGTATCTGTATCTGATGTGTTTATGTATTTGTTTTGGCTGATATTGAGACACTAAGAGAGCAGTAACAATCCAGAGGCCGACCACGCAGAAAATGGACCGCGGAAATATTGGTGCTACTAAAATGTACTATACAAAAAGCGAAGCGTCTTTCCAACGCTCTATTTCTGCTCTGGTGATATGAGGCACTCCAGGATTAGAGGAAAGAAAAAGATATTATTATTATTATCATCATTTTTATTATTAATTATTAATTTATATTAGGTGTCTAGTCCTTTAGTTTGTTCACACATATATCTGTGTATGTTTTTCTAATTTTTCTGCTGTTGTCATCTTCGTGTCGGTCGCTACTGACACATCAGGCATTTACAAGTGATCTGATGTGCTGAAGTTATGCAACCAGTTACCCCGTGTATACACTTCTTAATTGTTCTGTCTGCTGTTCTTCTCCGTGTGTCCTAAGGTCGTCGATGTTTTGTATCTCCAATTTCCGTCATCTGAGATATGATTTCACATCCTTTTCTGGAAATAATATCTGAGTGAGCACAGTCGATTTCTGTGTATCGATATGTTGATGTGTATGATTTTTGAACACGCAGGTCAGCACGGAGCTTTCCCAACTTCTGCCTGTCTGATGTTTATCGTTTCAAACATCTGGGATTTGCACCCCTTCTTCCCCACCACCGACTTGTTTTCTCTAACTCCCGCCTATCTGATATATTTATGCATCGTCATGCGCCAGTACTGAAAATATAAAGCATTTATAATGATAGATGTACGGCTAGACGCAACACTTCTATCCAGTTACGTGGGTTCGAGTTTCCTATTTCCAGTTGCCGTCATTTGAGATATTGATTTCAGATCCTTTTCTGGAAATAATATCTGAATCTGCACAGTCAATTTCTGTGTATCTAATATGTTCATGTGTATGACTTTTTAACACAGGAATCAGCACGGAGCTTCCCCAACTTCTTCTGATGTTTATCGTTTCAAGCATCTGGGATTTGCACCCCGTCTTCCCCACCACCGACATTGTTTTCTCTAACTCCCGCCTACCTGATATATTGATGGATCTCGTTTTGAGCCAGTAGTAAAATATAAAGAAGGCCGTCGTAATGTAATGTTCGACGAGACGGCTCCCAACGTTGGATCGTTCGACGAGTGGGTTCGAGTCCTAATGACGGAGCCGACTGGGCCAAAAGAACTTTGGATTCAGGTCCACCCAGCCTTGAGTGGGTACCAGGCAGAGACAGTGGAAGTTAAGGCGGCTGTTTTATGAAATCTAGGTCTACCCCTATATGCCCAATGCTCCAGAATGGGAGGATTAGAGTCTTTTACTCTACTTAAAATATTTAAAGACCCTTTGACACGAGTGGGGCACCCAACGTTTAATGTTCGACACATTTTTTAAAAAGCAATATTTGTGTAATATGTGGTCGATATCACTTTTACTTTTTTGGGGGTATTATTTTGTGTTTGATCCAGCCATTTTCGCTGCTCATTGTTCAGCCCCTGTCGTCTTCCGCTCTTCGTGTCCTGCAGTTTCCACAATTTCCTATTATGTCAGCCTTGTCGTTCATATGCCTCCTATATTTAACTTGAACTGTTCTTGAAATGTTGCTGAGTGATTGTGTAAAACTTGCCCCCCCCCCCCCCCCCCCCCCCCCCCCAGAACACAGGTGTGCTTACTCTTGTGTGTCTATGATCCCAACAACAATCAGGTACATGAAGGCTCCAGTACGGTACACCTGCAAGAATAAAAAGCCCATGGGAAACTGGTTGATCTGTCAAGATGAGCCGTACACAGTCAAAGCGCCATGTCTGGTCTATTCCTTTGGGTGAGTTGACGGCACAGAAATATGCTCCATAAACTAAACAGCGTTCTTCTTCGCATTCACTGGCTGTAAACTTTCGTAGCAACTCCCGGCTGTTCATCCACTTCCTGTTCCAGGCTTTGAGGATTGCATGCAGGTCCGTTTTACAGATCTTGCTTATTGTGTGCAGACCTTTGATTTAGTGTATCTCTGGCAGTTAACATTACGACTTTCAGGGAATCTAAGGAGTAAACTAGCAACCACGTCAACATACAATACAGGCTTTAAAAAAGGAAACTATATGACAAAGTGGTGGAGGTGTCAGATTACTTGAATAGTCCACAGTAACTGGCGCTGTTCACTTCAGTGGCACATCAGCCATGTGGACGGAGCTAGACTGATATTTTATAGACCATTAAGCAGCTCAGCAGGTTATGTGATAGGGAGTCAGGAGTTTGTGGTCAGCGGTCAACCAAATCCTAACACAGAGGAGACCAGACCTTCTTTAGCTTCATTCAGGGAACATAAGGTGCTTGACGGGCGAGCAGCCAACCTAAACCCTGCCTGGCACAGTCGGGCCCACACCTTGCCTGGCACAGTCGGGCCCACACCCTGCCTGGCACAGTCGGGCCCAAACCCTGCCTGGCACAGTCGGGCCCAAACCTTGCCTGGCACAGTCGGGCCCAAACCCTGCCTGGCAGTGTCGGGCAGCAACAGACCATTATCACCCCAGCGGAACATTCCGCGTGTTCTGCTAAACCTAATCTGAATAACTCAGTCAGCTTCTGGCGTGGGACTGTTAATGTTGGCATACTGGCAGCTGCCTTGTACATTGCTACATTTCTTGGGCAAGTTTGAAGAATTTGCTAGCACTAACAAGTTATTCACTAGTTTTCAAATGAGACAAGTGAAGGAAAATTGTCAACACCTTCATGCGTATTGGGCATAGAGGGCTAGACTATATTTTATTGTCCAGCTGGCACTTGATGGGTGATTTGGTCAGCAATGAAAGACTATATTTTATTGACCAGCTGGCACTTGATGGGTGATGTGGTCAGCAATGAATCCACGACCTTGGGATCCGCAGAGAAGCGTCTAGTTGCTACACCAGGACGGCTCCTGGAGGTAAAGTCATGAACATTGTGTGTGATTGCCACTGGTATAGTTACGCAGACGATGTGCAGCGACCTGACTGTTGCCATGTTGGAAATGCCATTAAAACCTTGTATTAGATTCACCTTACTGCAGACTTCGCCTCTATCATATTATTGTCTACTGCACGCTTTATAATTAATGTCAAGTCTAGATTACATCACAGTGACTTATTTGTGACCACTGGAAAGATATGTGGAAGGAGAGACAGAGGAAGACAACGAGAGAAGATGCTTCACAGTCTTGTTGCATGGCATGGAGATGTGTCGGCACACGAACTGATACATGCTGCAAAAGATCGCAGATTATGGAGAGGCATGATCGTCCACGCCAGTCGGCAAGGCACCTGATGATAATGATGACGTTACTTGTTGAGCAGTCATAGTGCCATAACTATGCAAGTACAAAAGTAAAACTAACGATCGCTTTTCACGCCTTCGGCGCAAGGGGCTTATGGGAAGAGCACCCTATATTTTTACAGTCCAATCAGCACTGGGTGGCGAATGTGGTCTGTCTTTAGAAAGCGGAAGGTGATGTTCAGCCCCTGCTCGCTCATTGCCAGTTATCAATAATTAGATTTCATTGTTATCCTGGCTATCCTCTCCATGAAGAGCTGAGTCATTTATGAGACAGATGCAGAAATAACACACTCTTCGACGTCATTTTGTTTAGCTCTTCTCTTCAACGACACCACTGACGAATCACATGTATATTCTTATTCTTATTGTTCTTCTTCTTCGTCTTCTTCTTCTTCTTCTTCTTCTTCTTCTTCTTCTTCTTCTTCTTCTTCTTCTTCTTCTTCTTCTTCTTCTTCTTCTTCTTCTTCTTCTTCTTCTTCTTCTTCTTCTTCTGCT